TTAGATATTATTATTATTATATATTAGTATTTCTTGAGATATTAACAATTTGCTTTTGCTTTTGCCACTAGAGTCTGCCAGTTGGAATACATAGCTCCAACTGGAATCTATATATGATGTAAATATTGCCTTAGATCAACTCTAACACTTCATCTGCTTCAGGCAGACCTTTCCAATTAGCCAGAAATATCTGATATGATATCTGATAAGAGTTTTTATCAACACGTAATAGTCCACTTGTTCTTTTTCCGTTGCATATCGTATCATCCAATTTGATTCCAACTAGATGTAAATGCTGCAGCTAATGCCACCTGTGCTCCACCTGGTTCCACTCATTTCAGCTGCTGCTCTGACTCCACATAATGACTCTGAACTTTTCATCGTGTGTTATGTTTGTCTTTCATTATTTTTCCACTGGCAGCAGCAGCAGGAAAAGTTGCTTTTAATTAAATTCATCTGATGAAAATGTTTTTCCTGCTATTGGCGACTCGAGCGGGGAGTCAAGGCCAACGCACTTCAAGTTCTGCTTCAACTTTTGCACATTCAACTTTAGTTTCGTTCCATATAAGTCTCAATTGTGATTGTTACTACTTTCAGCACACCCCCTCCCCCTCTCTCTCACACTTTCTTTCTCTCTCTCTCTCTCTCTCTCTCTCTCTCTCTCTCACTTTCTCTCTTTCACTGCACTGGCATATTTATGGCTCATCTGCATTGTGAGGACGCGGCTACAGTTTGTCACTGGCTAAAATCCGATTTGGCATTAATTAGCCCCAATTACACGATTACATATAAACTGCCTCTCTCTCACTCTGTCTCACTCGCTCTCCCTCCCTCCCTCTCTCTAGTTTTAGTGTGTGCGTATTTGTTTATTCGTTTATTTGTTTGTTTGTTTGTGTTTGGAATTTGTTTATCAACATTTAACACCGCCAACTGAAGCTGCGCCATGTTGTGGCTCTGTCAGCGGCTGTTTACTTTAACTGTGTGCGTGTTTGTCTACATGTGTGTGTGTGTGTGTGGGTGTGTGTGTGTGTCTGTGAGCCCACGCCAATTGCGCAGTGGTTATATAATTTGTGTCATTTTAATGTTATTACCATTGAAAATGTTTTCGAATTCGACAAAATCATTAAGTGGCACATTGATTTGATTTATTTAATGTCGAATGTAAATTAGATTCTGTTTCATTCAATTTTCAATTATAGTTTCAAAATTTGGTGCTCAGATAGCCCATTACTTATGTAACAGGTGATTCATTTACCTTCCTTTTATTTTCCCAATTTCCATCTCTCTCTCTCTCTTTCCACCCACAATCGGTAGGCTGTTCACACAGAGAGATTTATTACTACAGGCATAGGCATATCGATATACAGCTAATATCGATATGCAATTAATATCGATATAAAACTCTTTCTTTCTCTTACTCCCTCTTGTTCTGTCT